GTGATAATAACAGTGTAGTAGTGATAATAACAGTGTAGTAGTGATAACAGTGTAGTAGTGATAATAACAGTGTAGTAGTGATAATAACAGTGCAGTAGTGATAATGACAGTGTAGTAGTGATAATAACAGTGTAGTAGTGATAATAACAGTGTAGTAGTGATAATAACAGTGTAGTAGTGATAATCACAGTGTAGTAGTGATAACAGTGTAGTAGTGATTATAACAGTGTAGTAGTGATGATAACAGTGTAGTAGTGACGATAACAGTGTAGTAGTGATAACAGTGTAGTAGTGATGATAACAGTGTAGTAGTGATAACAGTGTAGTAGTGATAACAGTGTAGCAGTGAAAATAACAGTGTAGTAGTGATAACAGTGTAGCAGTGATAACAGTGTAGTAGTGATAACAGTGTAGTAGTGATAACAGTGTAGTAGTGATGGCCCGGTGGCCTGGTGGCTAAAGTTCCCGCTTCACACACGGAGGGCCCGGGTTCGATTCCCGGCGGGTAAAAACATTTCGACACGTTTCCTTACACCTGTTGTCCTGTTCACCTAGCAGCAAATAGGTACCTGGGTGTTAGTCGACTGGTGTGGGTCGCATCCAGGGGGACAAGATTAAGGACCACAATGGAAATAAGTTAGACAGTCCTCGATGACGCACTGGCTAACCCTCCGGGGTTAAAAATCCGAACGAAATCTTATCTTATCTTATCTTAACAGTGTAGTAGTGATGATAACAGTGTAGTAGTGATAACAGTGTAGTAGTGATAATAACAGTGTAGTAGTGATAATAACAGTGTAGTAGTGATAATAACAGTGTAGTAGTGATAACAGTGTAGTAGTGATAATAACAGTGTCGTGATAATAACAGTGTAGTACTGATAATAACAGTGTCGTGATAATAACAGTGTAGTACTGATAATAACAGTGTCGTGATAATAACAGTGTAGTAGTGATAATAACAGTGTCGTGATAATAACAGTGTAGTACTGATAATAACAGTGTAGTAGTGATAATAACAGTGTAGTACTGATAATAACAGTGTCGTGATAATAACAGTGTAGTACTGATAATAACAGTGTAGTAGTGATAATAACAGTGTCGTGATAATAACAGTGTAGTACTGATAATAACAGTGTAGTAGTGATAATAACAGTGTAGTACTGATAATAACAGTGTCGTGATAATAACAGTGTAGTAGTGATAATAACAGTGTAGTAGTGATAATAACAGTGTAGTACTGATAATAACAGTGTCGTGATAATAACAGTGTAGTAGTGATAATAACAGTGTAGTAGTGATAATAACAGTGTCGTGATAATAACAGTGTCGTGATAATAACAGTGTAGTAGTGATAATAACAGTGTAGTAGTGATAATAACAGTGTAGTACTGATAATAACAGTGTAGTACTGATAATAACAGTGTAGTAGTGATAATAACAGTGTAGTAGTGATGATAACAGTGTAGTAGTGATGATAACAGTGTAGCAGTGATAACAGTGTAGTAGTGATAATAACAGTGTAGTGATAATAACAGTGTAGTAGTGATAATAAGTGTAGTAGTGATAATAACAGTGTAGTAGTGATAATAACAGTGTAGTAATGATAACAGTGTAGCAGTGATAACAGTGTAGTAGTGATAATAACAGTGTAGTGATAATAACAGTGTAGTAGTGATGATAACAGTGTAGCAGTGATAACAGTGTAGTAGTGATAATAACAGTGTAGTGATAATAACAGTGTAGTAGTGATGATAACAGTGTAGTAGTGATAATAACAGTGTAGTAGTGATAACAGTGTAGTAGTGATAATAACAGTGTAGTGATAACAGTGTAGTAGTGATAATAACAGTGTAGTAGTGATAATAACAGTGTAGTAGTGATAATAACAGTGTAGAAGTGATAATAACAGTGTAGTAGTGATAACAGTGTAGTAGTGATGACAGTGTAGTAGTGATAACAGTGTAGTAGTGATAATAACAGTGTAGTAGTGATAATAACAGTGTAGTAGTGATAATAACAGTGTAGTAGTGATAACAGTGTAGTAGTGATAATAACAGTGTAGTAGTGATGATAACAGTGTAGTAGTGATAATAACAGTGTAGTAGTGATAACAGTGTAGTAGTGATAATAACAGTGTAGTGATAACAGTGTAGTAGTGATAATAACAGTGTAGTAGTGATAATAACAGTGTAGTAGTGATAACAGTGTAGAAGTGATAATAACAGTGTAGTAGTGATAACAGTGTAGTAGTGATGACAGTGTAGTAGTGATAACAGTGTAGTAGTGATAATAACAGTGTAGTAGTGATAATAACAGTGTAGTAGTGATAACAGTGTAGTAGTGATAACAGTATAGTAGTGATAACAGTGCAGTAGTGATAACAGTGTAGTAGTGATAATAACAGTGTAGTAGTGATAATAACAGTGTAGTAGTGATAACAGTGTAGTAGTGATAACATTGTAGTAGTGATAATAACAGTATAACAGTGATAATAACAGTGTAGTAGTGATAACAGTGCAGTAGTGATAACAGTGTAGTAGTGATAATAACAGTGTAGTAGTGATAATAACAGTGCAGTAGTGATAACAGTGTAGTAGTGATAATAACAGAGTAGTGGTAACAGTGTAGTAGTGATAATAACAGTGTAGTAGTGATAACAGTGTAGTAGTGATAATAACAGTAGTAGTGATAACAGTGTAGTAGTGATAATAACAGTGTAGTAGTGATAACAGTGTAGTAGTGATAATAACAGAGTAGTAGTGATAACAGTGTAGTAGTGATAATAACAGTAGTAGTGATAATAACAGTGAAGTAGTGATAATAACAGTGTAGTAGTGATAATAACAGTAGTAGTGATAATAACAGTGTAGTAGTGATAATAACAGTAGTAGTGATAATAACAGTGTAGTAGTGATAATAACAGTAGTAGTGATAATAACAGTAGTAGTGATAATAACAGTGTAGTAGTGATAACAGTGTAGTAGTGATAATAACAGTGTAGTAGTGATAATAACAGTAGTAGTGATAATAACAGTAGTAGTGATAATAACAGTTTGTTAGTAGTGATAATAACAGTAGTAGTGATAATAACATGTAGTAGTGATAATAACAGTAGTAGTGATAATAACAGTAGTAGTGATAATAACAGTGTAGTAGTGATAATAACAGAGTAGTAGTGATAACAGTGTAGTAGTGATAATAACAGTGTAGTAGTGATAATAACAGTGAAGTGATAACAGTGTAGTAGTGATAATGACAGTGTAGTAGTGATAACAGTGTAGTAGTGATAAGTGTGGTAGTGATGATAACAAATGTAGTACTGATATTAAAAGCGTAGTAGTGATAATAACAGTGTAGTAATAAGTGATAACAGAGCAGCAATGATAACAATGTAGTGAGAATAACACCGTAGTAGTGATAATTAGTGTAAAAGTGATAACTGAGTTATTAGTGATAATGATAGTGTAGTATTAAATATGTGGTAGAAGCTATAACATTGTAGTGAAGATTATAGTGTAGCAGTGGTGATAACAGTGTACTGGCCAACCCCTTCCCCCCCAGGGAAAAATGCGAACGAATTGTAATGTTACTGCTACGAGGTTTGACAACTCTGCCTCGCAGGAGACATTAGTATCCCAAGAAACACGTCCTGACGGACCTACTCGAACACTGGATAAATCTCACCTCAAGCAAGATCACACTCAACCACACCAACGTCACACTCAACCACACCAACGTCACACTCAAACACAACGTCACACTCAACCACACAACGTCACACTCAACCACACCAACGTTCACACTCAACCACACCAAGTCACATCAACCACACCATGTCACACTCAACCACACCAACGTCACACTCAACCACACCAACGTCACACTCAACCACACCAACGTCACACTCAACCACACCAACGTCACACTCAACCACACCAACACCACACTCAACCACACCTACACCACACTCAACCACACCAACACCACACTCAACCACACCAATATCACACTCAACCACACCAACATCACACTCAACCACACCAACATCACATTCAACCACACCAGCACCACACTCAACCACACCAACACCACACTCAACCACACCAACGTCAAACTCAACCACACCAACGTCACACTCAACCACACCAACATCACACTCAACCACACCAACATCACATTCAACCACACACAGCACCACACTCAACCACACCAACACCACACTCAACCACACCAACATCACACTCAACCACACCAACATCACACTCAAGCACACCAACGTCACACTCAACCACACCAACGTCACACTCAACCACACCAACACCACACTCAACCACACCAACACCACACTCAACCACACCAACAACAAACTTAGTCACACACATGCTCCAAAAAATTAACTCCAGAATACAGCATCTCATTTACTGATCTTCCAGTTTACCCACAAAAGTTAATTATTCAACAACGCGATAAATGATAATACCTAACACAAAAAACAACTTAAATTCTCATATATAATGATTTACAATGGGTACAGAGGTGATAATACTGACACACTTTACATAAAGTCCCTGGTTATGTAAAGCAATAAGGCCGTCATAAGTTACCTATATATAACTTCTACTGAAGCTTTAGCAAGAAGATGACGGTCGAAGCTTTAATTAGATAATACACTATAACATGTATTTACGGTATTAATATTAGTCAAATATAAATGCAGATACAAATGCAAATTTCAATATTACTGCACAGAACGTATAATACACTGAAAACCCCAAAAAAATATATGATATCTGAAGCAAAATTTTATTTATAGAATATAGTTTTTACTATATAAATATAGATTATACTATATAATTTATACGATTCATACTAAAAATATCGGTTAAGAAGTAGTTAATGTTCGTACTAATCAGACAATATATTTCTGATAAGTAAGAATGTTAATAGAAAATGTCTGTATTTTCCAGCCAGACGAACTAGTGCTAATAGAGATCTGTATTATTTCCAGTGATGGTCTTTGGTCTTGAGTAAAACAGTCAGCCAAGTTACGTGAACAGTACTGTGAGATGCACCATATCTGATCTAAGATTGACAAAAATCCTCCAGTTGCACCATAAGATAATCAGTGGGCAGTTCACACCTCCAAGATATCCAGTGCGGAGGCGTCCTCGGTTGAAAGGTGAGCAGGGAGATCGGTGGCGACCTCGGTGGGAACGTCAGCCAGGAGATCGTTGGCGACCTTGGTGGGAACGTGAGCCAGGAGATCGGTGGCGACCTTGGTGGGAACGTGAGCCAGGAGATCGGTGGCGACCTCGGTGGGAACGTGAGCCAGGAGATCAGTGTCGACCTTGGTGGGAACGTCAGCCGGGAGATCGGTGTTGAAATCAGACCAGTTCGTAAAGATTCATCTACTGGGCTTGTTTTTACCACAATTTTGACTGCATCACTGACTTAGAGAGCTGGGTCACTGGGGGACTGGGGTGGTAACCTGCGGTTGTTGGCTGGCTGGTGTCGTCGTCTTGAAAGGCAGGTCATATTGACGTGCCGCTGAAAGTATTGAACTGACCACTCAGAATAGTGCCACTCTGAGGGCTGACAGCTATTGTCATCCACCTCAGATGAGGACAGAGGAGCAGCCTCACCCTTCAGGGTGGAGGGGCAGGTTGTGACGTTTTCTTGCTGCCTTGAGTTATATTGTTACCTTGGAAAATTTGTAAGTGGCCTTCATATTGAATACTAATAATATTATAGTGTTGATGACATCAGTGTAGTGATGATATTAGTGTAGTGATGACATCAGTGTAACAGTAGTGATAATATTGTAGTTTTGATAACAGTGTAATGATAACAGTGAACTGTATGTAATGACAGCGAGTAGTGGTGACACCAGTGTAGTGCTACCAGTGTACTGATAGCATTGTGGTGGTAACACTGCAGTCGCTGTGAGAATATAGTGGGATAATAGGGTGGTAGAGATAACAGTGCAGTAGCGACGATAACAACAGTGATCATAGCAGTTTTGTGATTAGAGCAGTGATAACAGTAGTGATTAGTGATAAGAGTAGTGAAGATAGTAGTGTGCTGAAGATAATTGTGTAGTGAAGATAACATTGTGAAAATGAAAGTGTAGTGAGGGAAACAGTGTTGCGAAAATGACAGTGTAGTGAAGATGATAGTGTAGTAGTGGTGATAACAGAGTTCCCCCCCCCCCCGGCGCGGAAAATGCGAACCTATTGTAATGTAACTGCTACGAGGTTTGACAACTCTGCCTCGCAGGAGACATTAGTATCCCAAGAAACACGTCCTGACGGACCTACTCGAACACTGGATAAATCTCACCCCAAGCATGATCACACTCAACCACACCAAGATCACACTCAATCACACCAAGATCACACTCAACCACACCAACATCACGCTCAACCACACCAACATCACACTCAACCACTATATGAATGAATGGTATTAGTTAAATGTAACTGGAGATACCAATGAAAGTTACGGTATTACTGGACAGAATACAAAATACACCAAAACCACAATGTATAACAATACAAACACTGTTTATACTATATAATAATGTAAAATTTATTCAAATCATAATAGAAATCTCGGTTAAGAAGTTGTTAATCTTAACACCAAAATGTTAGAATACATTTGATAATGAATAAAAATCTTAAAATAAAATTTGTCTATTTTCCATTTAGACGAACTGAAGAAAGTTAATGCTAATGGAGATCTGCACTATTTCCTGTGAGGGTCTTTTGTTCTTGAGTGAAACACTCAGTCAAGTTACGTGAACACTGCTGCGAGATGCAGAACATCTGATCTAAGATTAACAAAAATCCTCCAGTTTCACCATAAGATAATCAGTGGGCAGTTCACACCTCCCAGGAATCCAGTGCTGTGGCGTCCTCGGATGAAAGGTGAGCAGGGAGATCGGTGGCGACCTCGGTGGGAACGTCAGCCAGGAGATCGGTGGCGACCTCGGAGGGAGCGTCAGCCAGGAGATCGGTGGCGACCTACGTGGGAACATTAGTCGGGAGATCGGTGTTCAAATTAGACTAGTTCGTAAAGATCTCAGGTGCTCGGCTTGTGTTTACCACAATTTTGACTGCATCACTGACATAGAGGGCTGGGTCACTGTGGGACTGGGGTGGTATCCTGGGGTTGTTGGCTGGTTGGTGGTGTCGTCTGGACAGACAGGCCACATTGACGTGCCCCTTAAAGTGTTGAACTGACCACTCAGAATAGTGCCACTCTGAGGGCCGACAGCTCATATCTTCCACTTCAGATGAGGACAGAGGAGCAGCCTCACTCTTTACGGTGGAGGGGCAGGTTGTGACGTTATCCTCCTTCAAAGTGGAGTGGGAAGGGTCTACTATCTATGGATCTAGGGCCAACTTATAGTCTACTACCTCTCTATTGCCGACCTATTGATGGTCCACTGCCTGTAACTTGCAGACCTAATCAGGGTCTACTGCTGCTTCCTTACAGACCCGCTCGTGGTACTCATACACTGTGTCCTAGACCCGCTCATGGTCCTCACTCTTTATGTCCCCGACCTGCTCATGGTCCTCACCCTCGGTCTCCCAGGTCTGCTCATGGTCCTCACCCTCTGTCTCACAAACCTGCTCATGGTTCTCACTCACTGTCTCCCAGACCTGCTCATGGTCCTCACCCTATGTGTCCCAGACCTGCTCATGGTCTTCATCCTCGGTCTCCCAGGTCTGCTCATGGCCTTCAATCTCTGTGTCCCAGACCTGCTCATGGTCCTCACCTTCGATCTCCCAGACCTGCTCATGGTCTTCATCCTCGGTCTCCCAGGTCTGCTCATGGCCTTCAATCTCTGTGTCCCAGACCTGCTCATAGTCCTCACCCTCTGTCTCCCAGACCTGCTCATGGTCCTCACCCTCTTTCTCACAGACCTGCTCATGGTCCTCACCCTGTGTATCCAAGACCCACTCATGGTCCTCACCCTTTGCCTCACAGATAATCTCAGGGTCCTCAACCTTCGTCTTGCAGACCATCTCATGATCATCAACCTCCGTCTTGCGGACCGACTCATGGTCTTCCATCTTTCCCTGGCAGACTTACTCGGAAGCTTTTATCAAGTCTAGTCCTGTCTCGCGGGAAAATTAACCTGGGAGTGTTACTTAATATTCGGGAGACATTTCCCTCACCTTTCTTTCTTATTCACAAGATTTTAGAGTTTCAACAAGGTGTCTTGGGGAACTTGCTTCTTGTTTTAATGTGTCTGTCGCCACATCCTTGCTTGTATACGGTTAAATCTCGCACATTCGTCTCTAGTATCTCTAATACGCTCCTCGTAGGAAGTAATTGGCTTCCGTCCTACGAAATACATAGGACCCTGCTAAATTTTTGCAGGTGTTAGAGACGTTTGCTTTACGGTGCCATTTTTGGCATTACACTCTAGGGTTTTCTAGTGGGTGTTTCGTAAAGTATGCTAATTATTTACATTTCTCTCTCGCCACATCCTTGCTTGTATGCGGTTTAGTTTAGCGCATTCTTCCCTAGTATCCTTAAGAGACGTTTGCTTTACGGTGCCATTTTTGGCATTACCCTCTAGGGTTTTCTAGTGGGTGTTTCGTAAAGTATGCTAATTATTTACATTTCTCTCCTCGCCACATCCTTGCTTGTATGCGGTTTAGTTTAGCGCATTCTTCCAAAGTATACTTAAGAAAACGTTTGCTTTACCATGCCATTTTTGGCATTACCCTCTAGGGTTTTCTAGTGGGTGTTTCGTGAAGTATGCTAATTATTTACATTTCTCTCTCGCCACATCCTTGCTTGTATGCGGTTTAGTTTAGCGCATTCTTCCCTAGTATCCTTAAGAGACGTTTGCTTTACGGTGCCATTTTTGGCATTACCCTCTAGGGTTTTCTAGTGGGTGTTTCGTAAAGAATGCTAATTATTCACATTTCTCTCTCCCCACATCCTTGCTTGTATGCGGTTTAGTTTAGCGCATTCTTCCCTAGTATCCTTAATCCGCTTCACGTACTAAGAGATTGGCTTTGTTCGTCCAAAATACATTTTTATATTAATAACGTCGATTAATAATATATCTTGATATTTATAGGTTTAAAGGTCACGATATAAACCTTGTTAGCTAGATATTCATTAATATAGAAGCCTTGGAAGGTATTCTTGCTGCCTTGAGTTACATAGTTACCTTGGAAAATTTGTAAGTGGTTTTCAAGTTGAAAACTAATGATTATATAGAAGTGATGATAGCAGTGTAACAGTGATATCAGTGTAACAGTGATATCAGTGTAACAGTGGTGATAATATTGTAGTTTTGATAATAGCAGTGTAATGATAACAGTGAACTGTTGGTGATAACAGTGAGTAGTTGTGACAACAGTGTAGTGCTAACAGTGTACTGATATCATTGTAGTGGTAACACTGCAGTCGCTGTGAGAATATAGTGGGATAATTGGGTGGTAGTGATAACAGTGCAGTAGCGACGATAACAACAGTGATCATAACAGTTTTGTGATTAGAGCAGTGATAACAGTGGTGATTAGTGATAAGAGTAGTGAAGATAATAGTGTACAGAAGCTGACTGTGTAGTGAAGATGACATTGTGAAAATGAAAGTGTAGTGAAGATGACAGTGTAGTGAAGATGAGAGTTTAGTGAAGATGACAGTGTTGTGAAGATGACAGTGTAGTAGTGGTGACAACAGTGTAACCTTCCCCCCCCCCCCCGTCGCGAAAAAATGCGAACGAATTGTAATGTTACTGCTACGAGGTTTGACAACTCTGCCTCGCAGGAGACATTAGTATCCCAAGAAACACGTCCTGACGGACCTACTCGAACACTGGATAAATCTCACCTCAAGCATGATCACACTCAACCACACCAAGATCACACACAACCACACCAAGATCACACTCAACCACACCAAGTTCACACTCAACCACACCAAGTTCACACTCAACCACACCAAGTTCACACTCAACCACACCAAGTTCACACTCAACCACAACAAGATCACACTCAACCACACCAAGTTCACACTCAACCACACCAAGTTCACACTCAACCACAACAAGATCACACTCAACCACACCAAGTTCACACTCAACCACACCAAGTTCACACTCAACCACAACAAGATCACACTCAACCACACCAAGTTCACACTCAACCACACCAAGTTCACACTCAACCACACCAAGTTCACACTCAACCACACCAAGTTCACACTCAACCACAACAAGATCACACCTCAACCACACCAAGTTCACACACAACCACAACAAGATCACACACAACCACACCAAGATCACACTCAACCACACCAAGATCACACTCAACCACACCAAGTTCACACTCACCACAACAAGATCACACTCAACCACACCAAGTTCACACACAAACCACAACAAGATCACACACAACCACACCAAGATCACACTCAACCACACCAAGTTCACACTCAACCACACCAAGATCACACTCAACCACACCAAGATCACACATATAATAAATATAGTTTATTCTATATAAATAGATTGTACTACATAATTTATTCGAATCATACTAAAAATATCGGTTAAGAAGTAGTTAAATGTTCGTACTAATCAGATAGAATATATTTCTGATAAGAAGTAAGAATGTTAATAGAAAATGTCTGTATTTTCCAGCCAGACGAACTTAGTGCTAATAGAGATCTGTATTATTTCCAGTGATGGTCTTTGGTCTTGAGTAAAACAGTCAGCCAAGTTACGTGAACAATACTGTGAGATGCACCATATCTGATCTAAGATTAACAAAAATCCTCAAGTTGCACCATAAGATAATCAGTGGGCAGTTCACACCTCCAAGATATCCAGTGCGGAGGCGTCCTCGGTTGAAAGGTGAGCCAGGAGATCAGTGGCGACCTTTTTGTGAACGTCAACCAGGAGATCGGAATTGAAATCAGACTAGTTCGTAAAGACTTCATCTGCTGGGCTTGTGTTCACAATTTTGACTGCATCACTGACTTAGAGAGCTGGGTCACTGGGGGACTGGGGTAGTAACCTGCGGTTGTTGGCTGGCTGGTGTCGTCGTCTTGAAAGGCAGGTCATATTGACGTGCCGCTGAAAGTATTGAACTGACCACTCAGAATAGTGCCACTCTGAGGGCTGAGAGCTCTCGTCTTCCACCTCAGATGAGGACAGAGGAGCAGCCTCACCCTTCAGGGTGGAGAGGCAGGTTGTGACGTTTTCTTGCTGCCTTGAGTTATATTGTTACCTTGGAAAATTTGTAAGTGGCCTTCATATTGAATACTAATAATATTATAGTGTTGATGACATCAGTGTAGTGATGATATCAGTGTAGTGATGATATCAGTGTAGTGATGATATCAGTGTAACAGTAGTGATAATATTGTAGTTTTGATAACAGTGTAATTAGAACAGTGAACTGTATGTAATAACAGTGAGTAGTGGTGACAACAGTGTAGTGCTACCAGTGTACTGATAGCATTGTGGTGGTAACACTGCAGTCGCTGTGAGAATATAGTGGGATAATAGGGTGGTAGAGATAACAGTACAGTAGCGACGATAACAACAGTGATCATAGCAGTTTTGTGATTAGAGCAGTGATAACAGTAGTGATTAGTGATAAGAGTAGTGAAGATAGTAGTGTGCTGAAGATAATTGTGTAGTGAAGATAACATTGTGAAAATGAAAGTGTAGTGAGGGAAAGTGTTGCGAAAATGACAGTGTAATGAAGATTAGAGTTTAGTGAAGATGAGAGTTTAGTGAAGATGACAGTGTAGTGAAGATGACAGTGTAGTAGTGGTGATAACAGAGTATTTCCCTCCCCCCGGCGCGGAAAATGCGAACATATTGTAATGTTACTGCTACGAGGTTTGACAACTCTGCCTCGCAGGAGACATTAGTATCCCAAGAAACACGTCCTGACGGACCTACTCGAACACTGGATAAATCTCACCTCAAGCATGATCACACTCAACCACACCAACATCACACTCAATCACAACAAGATCACACTCAACCACACCAACATCACGCTCAACCACACCAACATCACACTCAACCACTATATGAATGAATGGTATTAGTTAAATGTAACTGGAGATACCAATGAAAGTTACGGTATTACTGGACAGAATACAAAATACACCAAAACCACAAACAATGTATAACAATACAAACACTGTTTATACTATATAAAAATGTAAAATTTATTCAAATCATAATAGAAATCTCGGTTAAGAAGTTGTTAATCTTAACACCAAAATGTTAGAATACATTTGATAATGAATAAAAATCTTAAAATAAAATTTGTCTATTTTCCATTTAGACGAACTGAAGAAAGTTAATGCTAATGGAGATCTGCACTATTTCCTGTGAGGGTCTTTTGTTCTTGAGTGAAACACTCAGCAAAGTTAAGTGAACACTGCTGCGAGATGCAGAACATCTGATCTAAGATTAACAAAAATCCTCCAGTTCCACCATAAGATAATCAGTGGGCAGTTCACACCTCCAAGGAATCCAGTGCGGTGGCGTCCTCGGATGAAAGGTGAGCAGGGAGATCGGTGGCGACCTCGGTGGGAACGTCAGCCAGGAGATCGGTGGCGACCTCGGAGGGAGCGTCAGCCAGGAGATCAGTGGCGACCTACGTGGGAACATTAGTCGGGAGATCGGTGTTCAAATTAGACTAGTTCGTAAAGATCTCAGGTGCTCGGCTTGTGTTTACCACAATTTTGACTGCATCACTGACATAGAGGGCTGGGTCACTGTGGGACTGGGGTGGTATCCTGGGGTTGTTGGCTGGTTGGTGGTGTCGTCTGGACAGGCAGGTCACATTGGCGTGCCCCTTAAAGTGTTGAACTGACCACTCAGAATAGTGCCACTCTGAGGGCCGGCAGCTCACATCTTCCACTTCAGACGACGAAAGAGGAGTAGACTCAGCTCTTTACGGTGGAGGGGCAGGTTGTGACGTTATCCTCCTTCAAAGTGGGAAGTGGGAAGGGTTTCTACTACTCTATTGCGACTTTGAGGTCCAACTGCTTATACTTGCTACTACTCTCTGCTATTGCCTAGACCTACTGATGGTTCCCACTGCCTGTAACTTGCAGACTTAATCAGGTCACCTGCTCATGTCCTTATCAGCCCCGCTCGTGGTACTCACACACTGTGTCCCAGACCTGCTCATGGTCCTCACCCTCGGTCTCCCAGGTCTGCTCATTGTCCTCACCCTCTGTCTCACAAACCTGCTCATGGTTCTCACCTTCTGCCTCCCAGACCTGCTCATTGCCGTCACGCTGTGTATCCAAGACCCGCTCATGGTCCTCACCCTTTGTGTCCCAGACCTGCTCATGGTCTTCATCCTCGGTCTCCCAGGTCTGCTCATGGCCTTCAATCTCTGTGTCCCAGATCTGCTCATAGTCCTCACCCTCTGTCTCCCAGACCTGCTCATGGTCCTCACGCTGTGTATCCAAGACCCACTCATGGTCCTCACCCTTTGCCTCACAGATAATCTCAGGGTCCTCAACCTTCGTCTTGCAGACCATCTCATGATCATCAACCTCCGTCTTGCGGACCGACTCATGGTCTTCCATCTTTCCCTGGCAGACTTACTCGGAAGCTTTTATCAAGTCTAGTCCTGTCTCGCGGGAAAATTAACCTGGGAGTGTTACTTAATATTCGGGAGACATTTCCCTCACCTTTCTTTCTTATTCACAAGATTTTAGAGTTTTCAACAAGGTGTCTTGGGGAACTTGCTTCTTGTTTTAATGTCTCTGTCGCCACATCCTTGCTTATATACGGTTAAGTCTCGCACATTCATCTCTAGTATCTCTAATACGCTCCTCGTAGGAAGTAATTGGCTTCCGTCCTACGAAATACATAGGACCCTGCTAAATTTTTGCAGGTGTTAGAGACGTTTGCTTTACGGTGCCATTTTTGGCATTACCCTCTAGGGTTTTCTAGTGGGTGTTTCGTAAAGTATGCTAATTATTTACATTTCTCTCTCGCCACATCCTTGCTTGTATGCGGTTTAGTTTAGCGCATTCTTCCCTAGTATCCTTAATCCGCTTCTCGTACTAAGAGATTGGCTTTGTTCTTCCAAAATACATTTTTATATTAATAACGTCGATTAATAATATATCTTGATATTTATAGGTTTAAAGGTCACGATATAAACCTTGTTAGCTAGATATTCATTAATATAGAAGCCTTGGAAGGTATTCTTGCTGCCTTGAGTTACATAGTTACCTTGGAAAATTTGTAAGTGGTTTTCAGGTTGAAAACTAATGATTATATAGAAGTGATGATATCAGTGTAACAGTGATATCAGTGTAACAGTGATATCAGTGTAACAGTGGTGATAATATTGTAGTTTTGATAACAGTGTAATGACAACAGTGAACTGTTGGTAATAACAGTGAGTAGTGGTGACAACAGTGTAGTGCTACCAGTGTACTGATAGCATTGTGGTGGTAACACTGCAGTCGCTGTGAGAATATAGTGGGATAATAGGGTGGTAGAGATAACAGTGCAGTAGCGACGATAACAACAGTGATCATAGCAGTTTTGTGATTAGAGCAGTGATAACAGTAGTGATTAGTGATAAGAGTAGTGAAGATAATAATGTGCTGAAGATAACTGTGTAGTGAAGATGACATTGTGAAAATGAAAGTGTAGTGAGGGAAACAGTGTTGCGAAAATGACAGTATAGTGAAGATGACAGTGTAGTAGTGGTGATAACAAAGTATTCCCCCCCCCCCCGTCGCGAAAAATGCGAACATATTGTAATGTAACTGCTACGAGGTTTGACAACTCTGCCTCGCAGGAGACATTAGTATCCCAAGAAACACGTCCTGACGGACCTACTCGAACACTGGATAAATCTCACCTCAAGCAAGATCACTCTCAACCACACCAAGATCACACTCAACCACACCAAGATCACACTCAACCACACCAACATCACACTCAACCACACCAACATCACACTCAACCACACCAACATCACACTCAACCACACCAACATCACACTCAACCACACCAACATCACACTCAACCACACCAACATCACACTCAACCACACCAACATCACACTCAACCACACCAAGATCCCCACCAACCACACCAAGATCACACTCAACCACACCAAGATCACACTCAACCACACCAAGATCACACTCAACCACACCAAGATCACACTCAACCACACCAAGATCACACTCAACCACACCAAGATCACACTCATCCGCTACATGTATGAAGTTATTAATATTAGTCAAATACAACTGAAGATACCAATGAAAGTTCCGGTATTACTGGACAGAATATAAAATACACGTTTGTATTATTTAAGAGTATAAACTATGTTTATGATATATAAATGATTCAATTCATAATAGAAATCTCGGTTAAGAACTTATTTATACAAAAAAATTAAAATATATTTGATAAATAAGAATGATAAAATAATTTTTTTCTGTATTTTCCATCCAGACTAACTGAAGAAAGTTAATGCTAATGGAGATATGCACTATTTCCTCTGAGGGTCTTTGCTCTTTGAGTGAAACAGTCAGCCAAGTTACGCGAACGCTGCCGTGAGATGCACCACATCTGATCTAAGATTAACAAAAATCTTTCAGTTTCACCATAAGACAATCAGTGGGAAGTTCACACCTCCAAAATATCCAGTGCGGTGGCGTCCTCGGATGAAAGGTGAGCAGGGAGATCGGTGGCGACTTCGGAGGGAACGTCAGCCTGGAGATCGGTGGCGACCTCGGAGGGAACGTCAGCCAGGAGATCGGTGGCGACCTCGGAGGGAGCGTCAGCCAGGAGATCGGTGGCGACCTACGTGGGAACATTAGTCGGGAGATCGGTGTTCAAATCAGACTAGTTCGTACAGATCTCAGGTGCTCGGCTTGTGTTTACCACAATTTTGACTGCATCACTGACATAGAGGGCTGGGTCACTGTGGGACTGGGGTGGTATCCTGGGGCTGTTGCCTGGCTGGTGGTGTTGTCTGGACAGGCAGGTCACATTGACGTGCCCCTCAAAGTGTTGAACTGACCACTCAGAATAGTGCCACTCTGAGGGCCGACAGCTCACATCTTCCACTTCAGATGAGGACAGAGGAGCAGTCCTCACTCTCTACGGTGGAGGGGCAGGTTGTGACGTTATCCTCCTTCAAAGTGGAGTGGGAAGGGTCTACTATCTATGGATCTAGGGCCAACTTATAGTCTACTACCTCTCTATTGCCGACCTATTGATGGTCCACTGCCTGTAACTTGCAGACCTAATCAGGGTCTACTGCTTCTTCCTTAAAGACACGCTCGTGGTACTCACACTCTGTGTCCCAGACCTGCTCATGGGCCTCACCCTCTGTCTCCCAGACCTGCTCATGGTCCTCACCCTCTGTGTCCCAAACCTGCTCATGGTCCTCACACTTTGTCTCCCAGACCTGCTCATCGTCCTCACCATCTGTGTCCCAGACCTACTCATGGTCCTCACCCTTTGTCTCCAAGACCTGCTCATCGTCCTCACCATCTGTGTCCCAGACGTGCTCATGGTCCTCACCCTCTGTCTCCCAGACCTGCTCATGGTCCTCACCCTCTGTGTCCCAGACCTGCTCATGGTCCTTACCCTTTGTGTCCCAAACCTGCTCATGGTTCTCACCCTCTGTGTCCCAGACCTGCTCATGGTCTTCACCCTATGTGTCACAGACCTGCTCATGGTCTTTATCCTATGTCTCCCAGACCTGCTCATGGTCCTCATCCTCTGTGTCCCAGACCTGCTCATGTTCCCAGATAATCTCATTGTCCTAAACCTCCGTCTTGCAGACCGTCTCATAGTCATCAACATTCGTCTTGCGGACCGAGTCATGGCCTTCCATCTTTTCCTGGCAGACTTCCTCGGTAGATTTTATCAAGTCTAGTCCTGCCTCGCGGGAAAATTAACCTAAGAGTGTTACTTAATGTTTGGGAGACACTTCGTTCGCGTTTCTTTCTTATTCATTAGATTTTAGAGTTTTCAACAAGGTGTCTTGGGGAACTTGCTTCTTGTTTTAATGTCTCTGTCGCCACATCCTTGCTTGTATACGGTTAAGTCTCGCACATTCATCCCTAGTATTTCTAATACGCTCCTCGTAGGAAGTAATTGGCTTTCGCCCTCCGAAATACATAGGATCCTGCTAAATTTTTGCAGGTCTTAGAGGCGTTTGCTTTACGAATCCTTCTATATTACCTTCTAGCGATTTCTTCTCGATGTCTTGTAAAGCATACTTATTATTTTCACGTCTCTCTCGCCACATCTTTGCTTGAATGCGGTTGTGGCTTGCGCATCTCTCTCTTGTATCTCTAATCCGCTTCTCGTAAGCTGTGATTGGCTTTGGTCGTCCAAAATACATTTTTATATTAATAACGTCGAATATTTTATCTTGATATTTATAGGTTTAAAGGTCACGATGTAAACCTTGTTAGTTAGATATTCATTAATATAGAAGCCTTGGAAGGTATTCTTGCTGCCTTGAGTTGCATAGTTACCTTGGAAAATTTGCAAGTGGCCTTCGTGTTGAAAACTAATAATATTATAGAGGTGATGATATCAGAGTAATAGTGATGATATCAGAGTAATAGTGATGATATCAGAGTAACAGTGATGATATCAGAGTAATAGTGATGATATCAGAGTAATAGTGATGATATCAGAGTAATAGTGATGATATCAGAGTAATAGTGATGATATCAGAGTAATAGTGATGATATAACATAAGAACATAAGAACGAAGGAACACTGCAGAAGGCCTACTGGCCCATGCGAGGCAGGTCCAAGTCCCTACCGGCTTAAGCCAATGCACCCAACCTAGTCAGTCAGGTCACATTGACTTAAGGGAGGAACACGGCAACCGACCTGTTAGCACAAGCTTTCAGGTCTAACTCACACCCACCCACATCTACTCATGTATTTATCCAACCTATTTTTAAAGCTACACAACGTTCTGGCCTCTATAACGGACTTGGGGGTTTTTTCCCCTCATCCACAACTCTTTTATTAATTTTTTAAAATTTTTGGGGTTTTCGGGGAATTTGGGTTTTTTTAATTTTTTCCGCCCCCCCCCTTTTTTTTTTGGGGGGGTTTTATTTTTTTCCCCCCCCCCCCCTTTTTAAAAAATTTTTTTTTGGGGAAAAAAAAAAATTTTTTTAAAAAAAAATTTTTTTTTGTTAAAATTTTTTTAAAAAAAATTTAAGGTTTCCTTTTTTTTAAAAATTTTTAATTTTTTTTTCCCCCATTTTGGAAGGTTTTTTTTCCCTTTCCCCCCTTTTAAAACCCCTTTTTAAAAAGGGGATTTTTGGGAAAAAATTTTATCAATTAAAAGGGAAAAAATTTTTTTTTTGGGGGGGGTTTTTAAAAAAAAATTTTTAAAAAAAATTGGAAGGCCCTTTTGGGGGGAAAAAAAATTTTTTTTTTTAAAAAAAAAAAAAAAAAAATGGGGGAAAAATTTTAAAAAAAACCCCAAAAAGTAAAATTCAAATTTAATTAAAAAAAAAAAACCCGGGGGGGTTTTGGAAAAAAAAAAAAGGGTTTTTTTAAAAAAATTTTTTTAAAAAACCCCCCCTTTTCCCCCGGGGGGGTTTTCCCCCCCAAAAAAAACCCAAAAACCCCCCCAACCCCTTTTTTGGGGGGGCCCAAAAAAAAAACCCCCCCCCAAAAAAAAAACCCCCCCCTTTTTTTTAAACCCCTTTTTTTTGAAAAATTTCCCCAAAAAAAATTTTTTTTCCCCCCCCCAAATTTTAAAACCGACCTTTTCCTTCCTAAAAATTTTTCCCAAAAAAAAGGGGAACCCCTTTTTTTTTTTTAAAAAATTTTTTCCCCCCCTTTTTTTTTTTTCCAAAAAAAAAAAACCCCCCAAAAAATTTTTTTAAAAGAGGGGGGGGCCCCTTTTTTTAAGGAATTTTTAAAAAAAAATTTTTTTTTAACCCTTTTAAAAAAAAATTTTTTTTGGTTTTAACGGGGCCCCCCCCCAAAAAATTTTTCCAACCAAATTTAAAAAAAAAAAATTTTTTTTTCCCCTTGAAAAAAATTTTTTTGTTTTTTCCCTTTCCCCTTTTTTTCCCCTTTCCCAAAAAACCCTTTTTTCCAAAAAAAATTTAATTTTTTTTTGGGGGGGTTTTTTTTTTCCCCCCTTTGTTTTCCCTTTTTTTTTTTTTTTTCCCCCCCTCCCCAAAATTTTTTTTTCCCCGGGGGGTTTTCCCCCCCCCCCCTTTTTTTCCCCCCCTTTTTTCCCCCCCCCCAAAAATTTTTTTTAA